TATTAAGACAAATGTTATGTATTTCTCCATTGTCAAATTTATAGGAAAGGAACCCGCTCCAGAGCCTGCTCCAGTAACACCCTCGACTCTTATGCAGTCACATCCTGGTCATATGGGTCATATGGCTCCCCTGCCTAGTCAGTATGGTCCTCCGCCATCACCTATGGGGACACCTATGGGCGTGGGGCTTCCTCCTGACTACAATCCTTACTCGCAGGGTCCACCGGGTCCGCCTGGTTATTCAATGAATCCTGGAGGGCCAATAGATGCTAATGGGCCTGTGATGGGCGGTCAGTGTCCACCAGGAATGCAGCCCCCGATGCATAATGGTGGCGGTATGGGGCAGCCTCATGGAATGGGGCCAATGGGTCAGCAATTACCGCCTCAACCGCTACCTCCTCAGCATTCGATGTATGGTGGTTTTGGCCCATCGCCTGATCAACAGCTTATGGGACCACAGCAGCCGCATCAGCATATCCCATCCCAACAGCTGAAGCCCGTAGAGCAACGTGGCGTAAAACGTGAAGGCGATCTAATCAGTAGCGAGTCGTCAAAACGATTAACATCTGTACTGTCGCAAGATGATAACGCATTGAGCCATGCTCCCGTTGAGGAAGGGTGTGTAAGGGTGCCACTGGGAGTCGGTGTAACCGGTGAACGGAGCGGAGCAGACAACGGGTCAACAAAGGATGACAATGTCACAGAAAAGGATGAATCCACCCAGGAGTCAACAAACACGATAGAGAGTGCCAAAACGGAAACCGAAGATGACGACCCATCAAAGGTTAGCATATAACCTGTAAATGTTTTTCATACACTAAGATTTCAGAGGGTCATTTGTAATTCTCATGAAAAAAATTTCCATCCATATAAACAGCACATTATGTATGTGACTAACGAAATCTGTTTTGTGATTCAGATGGGAGCCACAAATGGCGACCGATGTCGAGGTTCATCAAAGAAAGAAAATGGCGAAAGCAGCAGTGGAAAAAATGGAGACAACAATGGAGGAAAGGACAGGGGTAGCGGTAGCAGTAAAGACGGCGACGAGAAGGGTAGAGACAACAAAGATAGCGACCGAAAAGATGGCGAATCAAAAGACAACGATGACAGCGACGACGTCGACAAAAAGTCGAAGCTGCACCTAAGGAGAAATATCAAAGGCATTAAAGACGAAGCCTCGTTAGACGAACGAACAAAGCGTGCCCAAAAGGAGGAGAAGGAGCGAATGGAGCGTTTGCAAAAGCAACGACAAAGAGCTCTCAATGCTCTAAAAGAGCTGAGGGGACAGCTGGCAAAGCCATTTGACGAGGCGACAAGGTCAATAGTCGCTGCACAGGGGGTCACCCCGTCAGCTAGTGACGAGATCGGAGTCGAGAACAGGAGTGCTAAACGGAACGAAGACAACAGCGAGATTACCACAGAGATTCCCGATGACAATGAGGATGTCACTATAGTTAAGGAGGAGAAACAAACAAAAAAGAAGGATAAGGATAGAGAAAGGGACGGCGACGTTATCGAGTTGTCATCTGGTGATGAAGACGAGGAAAGTTCTGATATCCCAAAAGAACGAGATGTGATCAATGTCAGCGATGAATCGGAGGACGAGGATGAAGAGCTGGACCTTAGTACGTTAGTGCATCCGATTCGTGACGACAAAGGACGGGTGCTTGTCAACGTTGGGCACGACGATAACGAAAAGGATATATTTATTGCTCCTCAACTCGCTCCCATTATAAAACCGCATCAGATTGGCGGGGTACGTTTCCTATACGAGAATGTGGTAGAGAGTAAGGAAAGATTTGAGACCACCCCAGGATTCGGTTGCATTCTAGCACATAGCATGGGATTGGGCAAGACCATCCAGGTTATCACATTTATCGATGTGTTCTTGCGCCACACATCGGCACGGAAGGTCCTAGTTATCACTCCAATCAACACCATTCAGAATTGGCAAGGTAAATTTACAAAGTAATAACATAATTGTCATTTAGTTCAAATATTTTAGTTGAGGTAACAGCTTTATTAAATGGTTCTAGATGCATAGCGTTGTGTAAAAAAATTACTGTGTTTGTGAAGTAGAAGAAATTATTTTGTCAGCTATGTGTTTTCTGTGTATCGTTCCCAGTCCATGTTCTTCTAAGAGCTTATAAAACTAAAATTATAAAATATGAATCTAAAATGTTTGTGTTGTTACATTTTATTATTAAAGTTCCTGCTAAATAATGGCTTATACTAAATCTAACTTTATTTTCTTCGCCCTTATGTTATAGCTGAATTCGACAAGTGGGTGCCCAAAGAGGACCAAGTACACCCATCATTTGTCAATGACGGCCACGTACGACCTCGTAACTATCCTGTGTTTCTACTTAACGAAGCATACAAATCGACAACCGCACGTCATCGTGTTATTAAAGATTGGGAGGACCAGGGGGGTGTTATGCTTATGGGCTATGAGATGTACCGCACATTGGCCCTGAAAAAAACCTACAAACCAAAGGGAAGGAGGAAGGCCAACAACGCTCAAGATTCAGAGGAAACGCAGCGTCGAGATCGCGCGCTACTTGAAGAGGTCTATGAGGCGTTGGTCAATCCCGGACCCGACCTTGTGGTTTGTGACGAAGGCCATCGTATCAAAAATTGCAATGCATCCACTTCCGCCGCTCTCAAGGATATCAAGACGCGCCGTCGTATTGTTTTGACAGGCTATCCTTTACAGAACAATCTAATAGAATATTGGTGCATGGTGGACTTTGTTCGACCCGCATATTTGGGCACAAAGATGGAGTTCACTAATATGTTCGAACGGCCCATACAGAACGGCCAGTGCGTTGATTCAACGCCGAAGGATCGGCAATTAATGAAGTTCCGCGCACACGTGTTGCATTCACTGCTGATCGGTTTTGTACAGCGTAGAGGTCATGGCGTTTTAAAAGACGCCCTTCCACATAAAGAGGAGCATGTGATAATGGTCAGAATGACCGAAGTTCAACGCGCACTTTACTCTGCACTTGTCCGGGAGTTTGTCACCGATTCTGATAATTCGGCCAACCCATTGAAGATTTTCGCTGTCTGCTGCAAAATCTGGAATCATCCAGACATTCTGTACAATCTAGTCAGAAATAAAAAAGGGCTACCGCCAACGGCAGTAATGGATCTGGACATTGATGACGGTACAGCGGAGGGTCCAAGCGGCGTGTGCACCCCACGGAAAGCACCCGGTGAAGACGGAGAAAGTCTTTTGGAGCCTGAAGGGGTTACTGAGGAGAAAGATGAAGGGCTTACGGTAAAAAAGAAACGAGGTCGAAAGAAAAAAGAACTGCCTGTACCCGTCGAACCGTTGCCAACGAACAAAGTTGACGATGATCTTAACAAGATCTCCTATGAGTGGGTGTGTACATTTCCCTCATGTTGTAAAATTTATGAGTTGGTTTACCGCTAATATTTTCACTGCTTCATCCTGTAACGCTTGGTTTCAGCTAGTATTGTGTTGTTTATTTTAATGTATACTTATTTCATTTCCTATATATATATATATATGCCCGAATTCGGTGTTTCACAGGCGTACGATATTCTAGAAGACTATAAGCCGGACGATGTCTCCAATAGCCACAAAATACTGCTTCTGATGGAGATGGTGGATACGGCGATGAAAATTGGAGACAAACTTCTTGTGTTTAGTCAGTCCCTGCTCACGCTCGACCTGGTTGAAAGGTTTTTGCAAGCGCGCGATTTGCCGCCACGACCGGGTTTACCGTACACCGATAAATGGGTCCGGAATAGAACCTATTTCCGTAAGTATCCGCTACTTTTACTACACGACTGTTTTTATTTGTTAAGGTTATTAATTTAATACATTGTAGTCCTTAATGAGAAGTAAGATTGCTACGAGATGTTCTTTCACTAGCTTTCAGTCTAAAAAAGTGTAATTCTCAAATAAGAAATTATACTTTAATTTCAAACAAAAGCTCCTACCGAAGTTGCATCACTTTCAACTGTTTTTTGGTGTGTATAAGATATCTGCCCATTTCTTTGATAAACATTGAGTTGCTCGACGAAAAAACGAGTTGTCTTTTATGCCTATTAATTAAGCAGACTATTCTCCCAGTTGCTCCAAGTTTGAATACCGTATTTTATTTATAGCGCGTTGTATTAATTGTAGCAATATATAAGGGTTAAAGAGAAGCATGGAAAGTTTTTCCGGTGTCGGAGGAAACTCCTAGCTGGACGCTTTTACCGTTTAAATTCAGGTTGGTATAACTATAATACAACTAAGTTTCTAGTCGGATTAATGTAATTAAAAATCGATTTCGTGTGAGATTATCGTTATATACCCCAGTTGTTGTCGATAATGTGCAGTGGACCGTTTACTTAGATTTGACCCTTATAAGATACAATGCCTTCGTATCCCAGTAGATGAGGAATCTGCTAAAGGTTTGCCTAGAACGTAGTAGTTTAAGTAGCTGAAAGCACTTGCTAGCACAACGCAGACTTACTGTATGAGTTTAAAATCAGTCGGGTAGATCGAGCCGGATTTAAAAGCTCACGCCATGGGATCATCCTTTTGAATAATAAACACGTAAATAATGAACCTTGTTTAGTTATTTATTATTGGGAATAATAATAAGCAGCATAGGAAACATTTAACGATAACTCGCACAATATGTCGATGGGGTCATCTACGTGCGAGAGACGGAAATTGATGCAGTCTTCTATATTTTATTCACGATTGCGCCGCATCCATAATAACAATGGATTTTTTTGTTTTTCGTCGAATTTCCAATGGGAACATAGTTATTATGTAGTTCATTCTTTTTAGGCCTCGATGGCAGCACATCTGGACAGGATCGAGAGAAGATGATCAACGACTTCAACCGCAACCCATGCGTGGCACTCTTCCTGCTATCAACCCGTGCAGGATGTCTCGGCATTAATTTGATAGGGGCAAACCGTATTATTGTTCTGGATGCCTCGTGGAACCCGTGCCACGACGCACAAGCTGTGTGCAGGGTTTACAGATACGGACAACAGAAACCCTGTTATATCTACCGATTTGTCTGTGATAACTCTTTGGAAAAGAGGATTTACGATCGACAGGTATGTTTCGGACTATATTACAGTTACAATGCAATTTTTCTATGGACACTAGCGATGAAAAAAATCGGCCTTTGAATGTTGCACTTCTCAAAACGCATACTATCATGAAAACAAGCCCTCGTCTAAGAAAGAACAATGCGCAACTTCTAAGTTTGGGACGGCTAAACTAGGGGCAGTTACTGAGTTATGACGCTACTTAGATTCCACAGAGTTAACATATGCATCTTATTTACTTTACGTAATATGTTCGCTACTTAATTTTAGGTTAACAAACAGGGAATGTCGGATCGCGTAGTCGATGAAATGAATCCCGAGGCAAAGCTGACATGGAAGGATGTATCGACGTTAATTCATGAGGATGAGACAGACCCACCTGTTCAAGACTACTCGGACAAAAGTGAATCGTTTAGTGACCCTATCATGAGGCAAGTAGTACTGGCCAATTCGGCGGCCTTTACTAAACTACCATTTGAGCATGAATCTCTCCTACTTGACCAGAAAGACCAAAAGCTAACGAAGTACGAAAAGAAACTTGCCAAAATATCATATGAACAGGAAAGGAAAGCAGCTCAGCTAGGTGGCCGCTGCAATTATGGAGGAGTAAACCTAATGAATGGCGGACGGGGAGGGGGAACCTACGGCACGTATCCTCCCCGGGTGGGCATGGTCCGAGACTACAAGACCGGACAGCTGGTGCCGACCCCCATGGGAGCCATAGGGGTCAACGCTGGCACGGCCTTGGTCCACCAGCTGATTAAGCAGGGCATGACGGTGCAAAAGATGAAGGTGCCACGAAGCCTTTCCATCGGCTTAATCAACGAGCCGCCAGTACACGTGCCTGCCGGCAGCGAGCTATTCGTGATGAAGACGCCTCGCGGGGTGTATTTGCGCCTGCCATGCGAGCGCGTCATCGCCATGAGGCTGCCACAAACGCTTGATCAACTATGCATGGCGCGGCCTAGCCCTTTTAGGAATACCATTCAGCCCGAGCACAGCTTCATGCATGCTGCAGCTGCTCGAAAGCCTGAGGTGATCAACCTGGACGACGATTCGTCCACCGACGTCGAGGACGACAAGCCTACTAAGGCAAAGCCCAAGGTGATCACCATCGAATCGGAGACCATTTCGCGCAATAAGGGTCTCTACGACATGCTCACTAAGGACTGCAAGTCGGCCGCGGCGCCGAAGGACGACACGGACGGCGATCTTCTCGGCCGGGTAGCTGCCAATAAGGACCTGCAGCTTCAAGTAACTGAAGTGCGCACGGAACGAAAGGCGCGTATGAAGATCACGCAACGGAAACGCGTTGATACGAACAGCGGAAGTGGTGGTAGCGGTAGCGGTGGGGACCGAGCGCATTTGTTAGAGCTGAACGGTGACGGAGTCGAAGTGTCAGAGGTACCTCTTGAAGGTCTGAATAGCGTCGACGGTACAGAAGGGGATTCCGAGCTAGATGAAGCACTTCGAAATGACCCACCTGAAGACGAGTTGTTTGACCTAGGAGGTTTGCTTGGTACAGAGATCAGTGTGAGTCCCGTTAAACCTTTAAAACAACGACGTAAAAGCCCGGTTCGGACAAAACTTGACGTTGACGACGAAGACGAGGAGGACGAGGATCTTGACGATTCAGTTGGCACCAATGGTCAGGCCAACATGCCCTCTAGTAATGGTTAGTATAAAATTTTTCTAACGTTGTTTTTTAGAAAAAGTTTTTATGGAGTCTAAAGAAAGCGACGAGAGAAAATTAACGTCCAAAAATGCGGATAACCGTACATCTATTATGATTAATCGATTTCGGGATTTCTGATATGCGCTACTCAACAGTCCACATAACTATTGCTTATAAAAAAACATTTTTCATATTCCAGATAACTCACAGGGTTCCGCTTCAGATAATTCTGTGGGAGTTAAACGTAATCCATTAACCATCCAGAGTCTGGACGAAATGTTGGATGCGCCTAAAACCAGTCCCGCCATTCCCCTGCTGGCGCCACCATCTCCGCAGGCAATTATCGCTGCTCCGTCGGCACTCGAACTAGTAGAGCCTGATAGTACGAGGACGTAAACCTTTTTATTGCAACGGTTGCCGCCTTCGCGCGCATAGTACGTCCGCTCTGTTTACTGCATTCTGTCTCATACTGTCATCGTATTTGACTGTATCGTATTGAGCCAGATTGAACCAGAGATTTACGAAAAGCCTAAAGCAAAGGAAGACAACGGTTGGTTTGTAAGCACGCTGATTCTATCCGCACTAAGCGTGCGCAATGACGTTTCACCACTGTCGACATAGTCCCGCGGCTTTATGCTGTTCCGGGGCATCCGACACAATCATATAAAGAATTCAAAAAGCGTTAGGCCAATTTTGTCTACCTGTTGCTCTATTCTTCCCTCGAGTAAGAATGAAGTGTGACCGTGAACTCGACTAGTACATCTAAAGTACATTTGTCGTAAGCTAGACGAAATTACGCCGTCAATCGTTTGAACAACTGAAGCAACGCGACAAAGCCAACTTGGGCGAATAAAGGAGAACTATAGTAATGTAATCTTAACGGGGAATATAAGAGGATCGACCAGTTCTCAAAAAAAGGGACTCAGATCAATGGACGGATACAAAGAAGATGCCACCCGTCACTGATGATTGTGTTATGTAAATATTCGTGTACAGAATATATGATTAGTGTTGATATGATGACGACCTTGTATCTGACTGAATCAAGCAGTGTGTGAGTATAAAAACAAAAATTAAAAATGTCTTGACCAGCAAGGAACGAGCACTGGCAGAAGTGTGAACAATGCTGACTGGTCTAATTATTAAGCGAATCACACAGCTGTGATTGCGTTTGGTTTAATATTCTTGAAGTAGTTTAGCTGTTGTGGTTTAATGGCGCAAGCCTAATTAAGCCAAGAAGCACAGGACCGGTGGGTGGAAGTTCCTTGTTTAAAGCACGCCTTCCCTCCTTATTTATCTGTTAGCTTTTTCTCTGTTCTCAACTGCGAAATTCTTTATTACCAGGAAAAACGTCTAGATGTCCTATTAATCTTAGGAGGGAGAATTAACAGACAAATGGCAAACTTTCAAGCCTGAATGCGAATAGATGTAACCGAGCTTGGCATGTTCGTTGGTTAGACAATGACTTTTTATTTCTCAGTGTCATCTTCATCATTGCGTGTATTGTTGACTGAATACAACGTAGTCCTAGTGCTCCGTTTAGGGCAACATCATCGTATATGGTATACTAAATAATATGGCTTTTACAAAACAAACGGATATTTTTTCACAAATTAATATTTGATTAACTTTGTGAGGTGAGGATGCCATTTTTGGGGATATCTACCCGCTGCAATACACGAAACAGGTTGAGTGTGAATTTTATCCCTGTCTTAGTGTTCTAGTTTCGATTTTATGACGTGCACGACAAGTACGTGCGTGCGTGAAGGTCTCTCGTAAGAAACGAGGTCTTCAAAAAGAGTTGATTAGTTGAATATAGAGTTGAAAAGTGTACTATGATGAGTCCAAGACGCAGACGTCGATACGTAGCCGATCCTTCTATAGCGACTGTAAAAAGACTGTGCAAGAAAAAAAAGCGTAAGAAAGCAGTGCGAGAAAGCCAAGTGTATTCCCTACGCGAAAACGCGAAACAACAAAAAAAATGCTTATAACAAATATATGATAATGATGATTATTATTATAATAAGAAAGAAAGAACAAGCAAAACAACATGACTCTGTACAATAGCTAGATATATAATCAAATGTTTCATAATATTAATATTGAATTGAATTACAAAGAGATATACTGTAATATAATTTGTCTATCATCGTGATCTGAACTAAATAAGGAAATATGGTGAGTGGCACCGAGGTACGGTGCCTTGATAGAAAGAGTTAATAATAATAACAATAAGATAATACTAATGATTAATAATGATAAAGAGAAAAGGAGATGGAAAAATGTGGCAAGCAGAATAAAAAGAGCGAGTGTGTCGTTTATGTAAATCACCGCAGCTTGTAAATAAATCTATCATATTTATGTCTCTCAGAAATAGGTCCATATTTTATTTTTTTCACCTTTCAATCTATATCATCTATATATCATTACGAACCGAACTGTAGATTCATCAATAGTTCAAGCGCTCCTTCAAAAAATGATTAGTCGTACATAAGAAAACAATTTATAATATGACGAGTTTGCGCTACGGCGACAAAGACTGGTCAAGTAATAATAAGGTACGTGAGACAACTGGCGATGAAGGGAAATGCGAAAAAAAAATATTGTGCAAATAATGTAATAATGGACCAAATAAACAATGGTTCAGATAGATGTCTTTTTCAGCGTATATTCAACTTGTGAACAACATAAATAATTGTTCTCGTGGATTGTTGATAATCTATATATATATATATATACATATATATATATATATTAGGTTTTTACTAAAATAATGTCTTCTTAATATCTTTTTTCATTGATTCGTTCGTTTAAGAAGAAAATTCATTTGTTTTTACTTTGATGGAAATGTGCTGCTTTTCAAAGTATAATTATTTTGAACTTTCATAAAATATTAACCGTATTTAAGATAAATAAAACTGTGAGAATAAACAAATAGAAACCGATTAGACTAGACAAGAAACTACTATAAAAGTGACTATAAGATAACACGTGCTTGGCCCTCGTATGTCTTTCGTTGAAATACCACTATTTAATGTTCCACATCCGTTGGCTATTTTTGGTCACTGTTTAAGGTTTTTCTTGATTATTTGAGCTGACTTCGTAACATCTATCTCTGGAATATTGTAGGTCGTTTTTATATTTTTAAACTGATTTCGATTTTGTATATGACAGCTTTGAATATTGTCTATATTTTATTGAAAAAATCTAAATCGTTGCATTTCGAAATAAATTTCAGTCGTTTTATAACCCGAATTCTATAAAAGCAATGATAATGTTTGGTCCTTCCTAAACCGCAAGTTATAAAAGCAAAAACAGTAAGCAAAACGGGCATTGGTTTCCGAACAACGTAGTAGTTAAAAATTATTGGATCATTGAAGTGCACCGTTACATTGATATATCTGCCAGGATGAAAATTAGAATATTTGTAAGTCACGAAATTATAACTAAGCGGGCCATCAGTAAAGTAATAACAGCGGCTTGTGTAACACACGTGAAGTAATTAGTAGTAGTAGGAGATTGAGCTATACTTGATAGCCGCATTATCTCGAAGTAATAAACATAAAACTAAATGAGCAATAGACTATATCCAAGAAGTATATAAGAAGTTCTAAATTCCATGAAATTGTCTTGAAATAATTTTAAACGCAACCAGTCTCTTACGTCAGGTTACCACAATGTGGCATTACTGCATTGGGCACGTTTCGTAAATTCAAATATCTGACAAGATGAGCGCGACCATCGTAATATAGAATTACAGGTGAGAAAGTTGACGGAGTTTTTAAGGTACTCTGAAGCTTCCTATTGTTCAATTGGTAAAATCAAATAACTACGAAGTAAGTCCGAAATATGAAAAGGATAGCCTTAAAATGGTTTCTAATCGAGACCAACTGTACGAAAAGTCAACGCCGTCCTCTACAGTGCGCAATTATTGTCACAACCGTTTCACGAAAAGGGTGACAATTTTTTTTTTGTAATTTTTCGTTGAAATCTGACGTGTCTTATTTTGAGCAAAAGCAGCAGTCAGACAATGAAATGCTTTAAAAGAAACTAAAACGGAAAAAACCTTTGCGCATTGCCATTACCTTCGTCTGTGACTAGTTTTTGGTTTTAAAAAAAACTTTGTCTTCGGTTACGAATGACGTATATGGCCTTATGGGTGTCGTGCACCCTCTCCAATTTTGGATTCGAGGCTTCCCTTATATGTATAGTATAGGCGTTCTTAAAAAGCTGCACTGGTTTTTCTTGAAACTGCGTTCTGTGCCTTTCGTTTGGAGCTAACCGCAATTAAAAGTTATATTACCCAAATATATGAAGCTGTTTAGCAACACAACGATTGTTTCTTCGGTCTTCCCTTTACATAGTCCTTTTGAGGCGGTATAAGTTCAAACTGTACGATGAAAGGCCGATGAAATGACTAGCTAATGTACGAATTGACCTTAAAGATGAATCACCTGTAAATGGTATTCAAACCGCAACTGCTTACAAGCAAGCGCAAGAATTACATTGTTCTACTAATGAATTACAAAAGGCAACGTAGGCGAAAATTGAGCCGTGAAGAGCAGTCCCGTGCCGCGAAGGGTATTTCACTTTGTTATTAAAAATTTTTCATGGTCATCTCTTACCAACCTTTCACTTCCTCTTTTCGTCCGAGTCGCTGGCCACTTCAGCCGCACACGTCGCATCGGTTGGTGAACGAAACTTCATTGTGTTCATCCTCAACCTGTATTCAACCGTGTCTATAAATTCAACTGTGGAGCACTGAAGCTTGTACGACGTTTCGTTCCAGACGGACAAAGCAGTCTGACAGTGCCGCTTTGCCTCTACTTATAGTTGAATGTCATGTTCGACAATGAACGTTTTCGCTATCCAGGCACGATGTACTAAAAACCGGCAGATTACTGTCCAGGACTTACCATTTGATTTCTTAGACAACGCTAGGTTCTTTGTAAATGCAAGGCCCCGTGACTCATGACGGTGACAGGCCGCGGCTGCTTATGCCGACATCTATTCTCAGAGAACAAATTCGTAGAGACAAAATATGGCTCTTGTAAAGGAAGGAAAGGCGCAATAGGGCAAAAATTTATCAGAGCTTTATCTCCAAGTACGAACCATCAACAATTCATTGTTAGTCACAGAACTACATGCAAGGCCTGACTAGGCGAGTATCTATTCTGTCGGGCATACTAAGCTTAAGTAACATCGAAGGATTTTATAATCAATACCAAATCAAAACTGCCTTAAGTTAGGTGACACCTTTGATAGGATGGAAGGTTACGAGCACAAAAAAAATACTAAATAAAATTTCTATTTTGAATTTATTTCTGTTTGGGTAAGATATTATTTGCCACAGTTGCTGCGAAACTCATGAGATTTGAATGTAAGAATTTGGTCTTCAACAAACTTACCCGACCTGTGAATGTGTTGGAACAATACCTTTCCACATGTTTGAAGTTCGTTAGGAAACCTCCGTGTAGCATATAGCTAATGGCTAAGAAGGACGGTAAAATAAACTAATATTTTTTTGATCCTACAACTGATTGCAATCAGTGCTTTAAATACTAATCAGCACATAGTAGTCACCTAAAGAATGAGTCCGCGTTTGAAGGAGTCATAGGTTATTTCAAAAAGGTCTATATTTTAGCTATTATGGTTGATCTATATGTTACAGTTCTATCATAATCTTATATGCATGTTTTTTATTTGCTTAAATGATAATTAATAAAAGTAACTAACGTTTTATTTATTTCGAGGCGTAGGGATTTGAAAATATTGCAAGAAGAAATACTATTTAATTTCGGGAACTATCTCGCCGTACCTATAAGGTATTTCTCTGTACTGATATAAGGACATTTTGTTACACTTATAACTTTTCATTTAAGTTGAGGCGTTGCGTGAGGCGCACGGCGAGCCGTTAAAACAAACGGTGTCGTTACTCCATGGTGATTTGCGTGGGTGGTTTTGGTTTAGCCGAAACTCATAATCGGATGGCTTACGTTTTTCGCTTCTTCACTACTAAATAAACCCAGTGTGACGGATATGCTGAACAACGATGAGAAGCTATAAAAAGTAAAAGCTCCTTTTTGAGGGCTTTGTGATACGTTTGATTTCAGGTGCGCTCCACTGCAATGCCAGCAGTCTCTAACCCTAAACAATAACCCCGTGACCTTAAATGATACGCGCTTCTTTCTCTCATGAGACAAAGCTATTTCAGGTTGCTGTAATTTGATTTTACGTTCGTCTTACCCGCCTATCAGCGCATCCGGCATTGCCACGCAATCAAATGGGTGCCCCCCAGGCTTACTGGAAATAAGGAAATTTTCGTTTTATGCGTAACGGCTTGTTTGTTCAGAAAGCGCAAGCAGTCAGGGGTCCGAAGATGGAGTATGAACTCACAGCAGGAATATTGAGGAAATTGACTTGGGGTAGTCATATGTGAAATAATTACACAGGCAATATTTTAGCCTTATATGGTTTTACTCACAGTACCTGAGATGAAATAGTTATTTGTAAATAAACAAATAACATGGAAAGACAGAATAGGTGCTTTTTTACAGATCACTGGCTCATTTTAAATACAACCTTAAGATTCATGTCGCGTTCGTTAATTTGGGTGAAATTTACTTTATGTTAATATCACACACCCGGAAAAAGTGACTTGACAGCTTATCGCAGCTGTGTTTCGAGCTCTAGTGTATGGTATCACCGTTAGGTATTCCACCAATCGACTCATTCCCATCACGAAACGTAGTAGTAGTCTAGACCACAACGTATCCCTGAGATTAGCAGGTCAATAAGTTACCCACTGGGCTATCACGGGACAGCCAACCACAGCCTAGATTAAATAATATGGCGCTCATTTTCTTCGTGTGAAACTGTTTTGACTAAGCACACTATACATGTGTCACAAAAAAAAAATTAATTCACCCGAGCTGTGTTGCTTCGAAGCGAATCTTTATATGGGCGAGACCTAAAAGGCAGGTTCGCAATATAATCCTGTAGGGATTTAGCTGTTGACTGGCTAATCTATTTTTTTGTGAAAATACTCTTTCTGGTTACAACTTTTTGTGTACTAGACGACCCATAAACTGAACGATTTCCATTAGCGATTCATTTATAAAATATCACAAAATGTGCTAATAATGCTGAATTCTCTATTTACAAACATACATTGCATCGCTGATCGCAAATTTTTTCCTTATGATGATCAACACAACTTAAGAATTTAATGGCATTTAATGGAGAAATGAACTGACTAATTTTGTCTTTATTTTTCTAGCTAATCGTGATCACTGAAAAGCGACTATACTATACGTTGCTGCTTTAAACATGAGCAGTAACCAGACAACGATACACGTCCCGGTCCTAAAATCCAAAAAATTATTCAAATTATATGCGTTAGATCCACACAAGCAATAAACACACATCAAAGTGGTTAAATATGCCTCTCTTCTATGACGATTCCGCACTGCGGTGTTGCTTTCTGGTTTCTTCATGCCTATTAGTTTCCTCGTCAAAGAGTGATTCACTTCGGGCGATCAAGCGCCTAGCCGCAACAACCTTCTAGGCTCCTCAACGATGCCTAATTAATGACCGATAACGGATTAAGCTGGTTACGTGCTAGTGCTAAAATTAGAAAAAGTACGGCAAAATGCTTGAAAGGCGTTTTGAAAGCTCTGTCATAAAAAT